AAGTTGGTTTGGCTAAGGGGCTACTTACCCATCGATGGGATGTTCTTCCCATCGCTGGGTGGGTGGTTAGCCAAAAACCTATGGTTTTTGCCTTAACCACGGCCTAGCCAACCGATGCAAAAACCGACCGAAAAATCCAAAGTTCTCCAAAATAAACACCAAGTGTTTAAAACACTTATTTGATGTATTTGGCTAAGAAATCAAGTGAGACACTTTAAAAATCACGTCATTTGAGTAAAAACCACGGCTAGCCAAGTTTACGCCGTTTTGCGTGGTTTTTGTCAAACGACTAAAAGTGAGAGTTGGTTTTCAAAGTGTTTTTGTTGGAGAACCGTTTAAACATGCCAAAGAGTGAAAGCAGATCATAAAATGCTGAAAACCACTTGGTTGGTTCGGATGCCAAAAACCAAACCCGACAACCGAAAGCCGAACGCTGGTTTCTGAGAGCCGAACACTGGATGGCTTGGTTTTTGGTTTGGGTGAACACCAAGTGTTTTTAATGACTTAAACAAGTTTAAAACCATTTTTATGATGTAAGAAATGCGATGAGAGTTTTTAGCCTAAAGAGCCAAGGTGTAAAGATTGGGTCGGTCTTGATCACAATAAAGACCGACTCAATACTATGATTAAGGTCTTCGTTTAGCTCTTGCTCTTATCTTCGTTCTTCGCCTTGTATATTCAATGTTCGACTTTATCACGGCGGTTTGGCATTATCAAAACCTGTTACAAAAACGAACACGGCTTTAGTACGAAAACGTGCCAAGCCCGTGTTTCAACAATCCGTACCTTCGTAGGTGATTTCTACTTTGTCCCACATTTCCTTGGCAGTGGAACAACAAGAGATTTTCCGGTAGTCATCCGGGTTTACGGCGCAAAAGATGATATTGATGGCCTTGGCATTGTTCTCCACTTTCTTGATGTCTTGTGCATCATACTCATTCTCGGTCTTAGGGACGTTGGTTTCCCCGACCTTCTTCATGGGCACGTCTTCACCATTTTTGATAATTCTCCATAGGAGAAAGTTGGTGGATGGGATGTAAATCCTCATCCGCTATTCCAATAGGTGTAGTTCGTTCCGTAAAACAATGGAGGCCTCGTGGTGGATTGCCCTTCACCTAAACCTGCGTATGAGCTTTGAGTAGAAGCCATTAATCGCTTTTCTCAAATGGTTAAGTCTTTCAGAGAGTAAGGCTCTAATACCAATTGTTAGAATAAAGGCCCAACGCTAGAGGGGGTTGAATAGCATTTAAAACAAAATCGCAAGAAATTAAAAACGAGAGCGAGAAAGTAACTCTTCAACCACATAATAAAATGTAGAAGAAATTTATGATACCATCCACCAATTTAGTTCATGACAAAATATTGAGCTTTGTTGGGGAGAGGTTAAGAAGTTACAAGTGGTATTTACGAAAAAATATATTACAAAAGGTATAACAAAGGATGAGTTGTATAATTTACCCCTTCCTAAGTCAGGCGTCACCGATGGTCTCACACGTCCTATTGGAGTGGATGATGCAATGTGGGCTGGATTTGCTACCTTGTATTTTCACAGGAGTTTGAGGTTAGCCCAAATTTGAAGTTCAATGTCACAACATTTTTAAGTAAAATACAGTGATGTGTAAATAAATGTAGAAATGTCTTAATACTCTTTTATTTATATGTAGAAAAAAATCACAGCATAGAAAGAATGCAAGAGGAAAACAAATGCATTGTCACATGAATGGTGTTAGAATAAAGGCCCAACGCTAGAGGGGGGGTGAATAGTGTTTAAAGCAAAATCGCAGGAAATTAAAAACGAGAGCGAGAAAGTAAGGAGAGTAAGGAAGGAGCACACCGAATTTTATCCTGGTTCACAACAACGTGTGGCTAATCTAGCCTTTCGAGAGACTCTCTCGAGTTACACTAACTCCGTTAAGCTTAAAGGTGCTCAACAAACCGATACAACTTGAGAACTCGAGTCACACGAGCCTCAACGCCTTTGCTCAGAGATACCGCACTCCAAGACTTCTCACGAAGGAACGAAAGACTTCCTTCGAGTTTACAACAAGGGAACAACCTCCCTTAAAGTGTATAGAAACACTTAAACACTCAAGAATAAAACTCTCACAAAGAGTAGATATGAGTGAACTAGTAAACGCTCAAGAACACGACAATTTTTCAAGAATTGGCTCTCAAATAGCTAAGAAAAATATGAATGCTTATGCAATGAAAGAGTATTGAAATGTTGAAGAATTGTGTGAAAAATGAGAGGATTTGGGTGCCATTTTATAGCCCAAAATGGGATAAATCCGTTGCTAGAGTTTCCAACAGGATGAAGACAAATTTTTCAGAGTTGCAGGGTGATAATCGATTGTCTAGCCATGATAATCGATTATTGAAAGATTCTCTGTCCAAAAAATTTAAAATTTTATCCGTTGGAGGACAACGATAACCGAGACAATCGATTGTCAACAAGTGAGAATCGACTATTGGTCCTCTTAGAAGATTCTGGGTTTTGGCTGCAAAGGCTGATAATCGATTGTTGCATAAGTGACAATCGATTACGGAGCGCTTCAGAACTTTGAGGTTCAAAGTTGCAGAGGCGGATAGTCGATTGTCACTAAGGTGAGAATCGATTATCACCCAGCTAAAGTCTAGCGAGCTGAAACTCGTTTGGAAAAACCGAGGCCCAAAAACGAAGTGTTCCCAAAAGTAAAAACCAGGTTTGAAAACCATTGTATATGGTATAAAATAGTGAAAACAAAACTTGTTAGGTAAAAACCAAGTTTTCAAGGTCGTAAATCACGTGCGTACGGTTTTGACCGTTTTTCACGTGTTGGACCGATTGACCAAGATATAAAAGTGGTTTTTATAAAATAATTATTTGGGAACCTTTTAA